TAAACTCACCGTCTCGCCGCTAATTCTCAGAACCGACACTGCACCGTGATTCAATAACAGGTCAATAATAAACTCGATCAACCGAGAGGAAATGGGAGATCTCACCGTTCCCTCTCCCGTGCACTCGGGTGAGTTCTCCGACAAGACAAACGAAGTCGCCCCTTTCCTGTTGGCCTGTGGCTACGAGAAAGTGTCACAGACGCCCGAACGGCTTGGTCCCCGGCACGTAGAGAGCACAGTGTAACCAACTTCCGTTGGCTCGTAAGGCACGAACTCAAAGTCGTCGCATACCACACGTACGCACACATGCATATGTGCACACATATGTATATATCTATATCTATATATATATATATACTCTGTTCAAGATCTCCCTCTTGTCCCGAACGTCTCCTATATACCTGGACTATACAGTGTCTTTAAGTTTCGCACAAAGACCGGAGGAGCAGTTAAGTTACGTAGAAGCCAGAGTTCGCACCATTCTCCTTTGTCATGCCCCTCTTTCCTCTCCCCTGACCACCAAGGTTGCAGTCACCCATCTTCCTCTCTTTGGGTGGGTCTTCTTTGCTCGCCCTTGGCGCGCCTTCTTCTTCATCCCCGAGGCGACCGGAGTCTTTAACTTTCAGCGACTAAATTTACCGGCAGTCGAAATACCAAGCTCTATTGTCCCTGTCGCACGTCACGAGCGAAATGAAAGAGCGTCTAGTCTAGCTCCAAATGTTTGGAATTGTCGTTTAGATTCGTCGTATATCCGCGATTGTTCGCGAAACCGTAGATTCTTAATGGTGAGCGTCGAGGATTTCCATTTGAAGATCTACAACGGGATTCGTATTCTATTCAGAAATATTTATTACGAGATACGCGAGCTTATTGCGAAACGCATGCGGAAATAGAGAAAGTCTTGTAGATATATGTATATCGTAAGATGATCGAAAAATTGTTACGCGTTTCTTATTTAGGATCAGATTTCAATTTATTTTTGCGGGGCATTGAAATTCTTTTGAAAAAATTATGTTGCGTAAATATAATCGCGTTTCGATTTACGTGGAAACGGGTTTTGTTGATCTCGTGCGATTTTAATTCGACCGATGCGTGTTTTGCAAAAGCATTATCTTGCCGCAAATGTGACTTTTCGAAATGAAAGGCGCGCGACCGGTTGACCCGCACTCCTTAAATCTTTACTCGACCATCTATGTATTTAAAGTAGGATAATACGCTGGCGCGCGACTGTCGTAAGCTTTCGCCCTACACCTGTGTCGCTACCCTCGTAAAAGTGTTCCTGCATCCAAATTTTATTGCGACTACAACTCGGATGCTTTCTTCGGTCGCTTTAGAAAATGGTAAAACGCGAATTTTATTCTTATTCTGTTCGCGCAACTCGAGACGTACGAGGCATTTGTGAGCGCATTTAAAAGTCGGATTTCAAACGCGACGAAAATGATTTTTCCTCGAGCAAAAAAAATTGCTTTCGCCTCGATCGAGTAATAAGATACCGATTAAAAATGTCTAGCATTCGAGGAAAAGTCGAGGGTAGTCGGGCGAGAGGTAAAATGATAAATTAAACTGACTGCAGTAACGCTCGGCCGCAAAACAAGGCGGGTTAAGCTGCGGAATTATGAAAGTTCCAAGACTAATTGTGAAACTTTTCACGATGTACAAAATTGCAGTAGATTCGCGCGCGTGCGTACGATAGAACGAGAGGGTCAGTCCTCTCGTTACCGCTCGAGGCGAAGTGCCGTCGAGATAGGCGCCGACTTGAGAAGATAAAGAGAGCTTTTCCTTATCGCGCGCGCGACAGAGGAGGAGAGAAAGGGGACCCGACATTCTCTCGAGGGATAAAAGGGGACGGAGTTTCGACCTCTTGTGAGTTCTCCATTCCGTTTGGATTCCGCGCGAACGAAAAAACTTGAATCGCCGCACGCTTGTTCAAAGTTACGGACGGTTAAATTGCGATTTGCTAGAATTCCGCCAAAGTTTATTATCCGCGAGTCTAAATATATACGGGAGTTTAAGGGGATGAGGTTTAAAACGTCGAGAACTCGAGAATGCAACCCTAAAGAATTACGGGCGTATAAATATTTCATGCACCGGGTCGGAGAAAGGGATAATCAGTCTTAATTCAAAGTAAAATATTATTTTTACTTAAAATGAGGCTTGTTATTACGAAAATGCCGGAGCGAGTAATATGTTACAAAGTAACTTATTTTCTACTCGTTATCTCGAGTAAATAATTTTCAGCTTACTCTTTGAGCTACGAATCGATGCAGTCAGCAGCGTCATGCGAGCATAACTATCCTCGCCAAGCCAGGCGTCTTTTATTTACCCCGCATCACGACGACGGAAGGGCGGGAAAAGGATGACGGGGCAAAGGGAAAGAGGATAATGTAATTCTTGACAATCTCTTTCACAAGACGCGTCTCGTAAAAAGTCTTTTGCACGCGGTAATTTCGTTCGAGCTGTTTGCTCTCCAATACGTCGCTCTGGAGTAGACAAAAAAAAAGAAAGACAAGGCGAAGCGTTCGACGAGGAATAGAAGTAGCGGCCCGTCGACGAACGTCACCGACGACGACACTCCTTCCTTCGTTCTTCCTTTCGTCGTCGTCGTCGTCGTCGTCGTCATCGTCGTCGTCGTAGTTTCATGGGAAAAAATGCCTTGGGCCGAATAACATTGATCGCGTCAACGAAAAGTCGACGACCTTACGACCTTTGATTATTTAATCTGAACGTTTCCCGGGGTGGTCTCCAAGGTAATTCGTCCGGGTAACTCACGACATTATCCCCCGTGGAGGAAAAACGGACTTAAAGAATAAGTACGCGCGTAGAAGTGTATCGTTGACAGCCCGGGAGAGTTTGTTTGGATACTTTTATTGTAGCGAATGTGAGTTTCGAGAGAGAAAAATTTCTCTCGGATCAACCACACAATGGGTATAGGTATACACACACACACACACATATATATATATAGGTATCTAAGTTTTTTCTTGAAAATAATTCAAAGAAAATTTTCCACACGCAGAGCATGAAATACAAAAATATATTATACGGTTAAATAATTTTTATATCCCTTTCGTATAATAAAAAAAAGTAGATTAACGCCCTTATTTTTGTCACTAACAATTTATATTTTACGCTTCTCCTACCGGGTGTCCCAAAATTATTGATGACAAGTTCGCGTTGCAAGATTCGCCTAAATAATATACTGACCCATCTCCTCCGAGAGGGTTACGCTTGCGCGCGGCTTAGCCGTTGAAATCGGATTAATTATTTCCCGGCGCGGCCGGTTGAGCGGCCAAAGGCGCGGCCCTTTCTTATCGTCGGGTTTAACGCAAGCACGGAAGGGCACGCGTTGGGGAGCGGAGACCGCTCTCTACGTGTTTGCCTACGAGTCTCCGTCGAGATCGATGGCGCCACGCCACGCCGATGCGGCTATATCCGTGTAAGCGTTTTCGCTAGGTTGTCCGCCCGCGCAGCAGTGCAAACATCGCGCGACGAAATTACACACCGCGCGCGACATCGCAAACACACGGACGACGGACGCGAAGACGAGACGAGACGTAGCGAAGCGAACGAGGGTGCGCCTAACGAGGCCCGTCGTCCCGTTTACCATAGCCCGCCAAGGATAATAAGGATTTTGATTGAGCGGCTTGTTTGTGTCGCGTGTTCCTTATTGATCAAAGACGATACGGCGACCTCTCGGGTGACCTAACGATGAATTTGTGACACGATCGAAAACGACTTGATGTATATATAACATTTCCTCTTTCGCTCGGATGAAATTTGTATTAAGCATTTTTGAACAACAAGATTGACATGATTTTTTCTTTTATTGATTTCTCATGTCGTCTTATATTACTTGGCGAAATTCGTACTTACTGAATACTTTTGAGAATCGACGGGATCACGCGCAAATATTAAAAAAAAACGAATTCTATTTGTTTGCCCGATCTTCGGAATGAGAACAATTTCGCGCGAATGCGATTGCCCTGTTGTTGCGTTCTCGCAAACTCGTTTCGATTTCCGCTCGACGCACAATAAAGTGCAACAGGATCCATTAACGCGGACGGATCGGCTGACACGTCGACTCGCTGACGCTGCGCGATATTAGTCAGCTCTACGCTCAATCGCAACAATGCTGTCCTCCCTCCCTCCTTTCCATCAGGATCTACATCGATGAATGCCGAAATGGACGGTCGAATGGCCGTAAACGCGAATACGTCCATAACGGACGTATATACCAGCCACCGGATCGCGTTGCTTCTCGTTATATACGTTGCCATCGAAGAAGCCCTGAATTACGAAAGCGCGTAAACGTCCGGGGGGCACATATACATACATCGAATGCATCTTCCGATCCGCCGCGGCTTTGCAGCTCGACGGATGCATTACGGATGCAAACGCTCGAGCGCACCGCTCGAGATCAAAGCGCGAAATACCGAAACTCGGCTCGGTGAGGCTAATGCACTTCGGCGCGGCCGAAACACGAAAGCCGGACGAAGAAAGGAAATAATGCAGATGCAGGGGTAGAGGCAGAGGCAGAGACGGCAAACCGAGGAAAATTGAGTTCCCGATCGTGTCGAGAATTTTTCTCGCGTTGTCGTGGTCTATTCCGGAAAATACGCCACGCAAGAGCGGAGACAACGAAATTTCCTTGATTGTTTGCGGGTTTTACGGACGCGTGAAGATATTTAAATATTGCATCGCACGCGCGAACAAATATGTTCCGTTCTTTGCTTTATCAATTTAGCTTTTTGTTTGGATTATAGAATTTATGAAATTCGCTAATATATATCTCCAACTTTTTTTTCACTGAAACATGTGCGGATTTTATTTTTTATATTTAATATATTATTATCTGTTAGTACAAAATCTGTTAGTACAAAAAATATTTATTTCTGTGATTCTGTAAATTATCTTTACCATTTAAACGATAGGTACATTATATACGGATTCACATTTTTCGGGGAGAAATTAATGAAAATTAAACATTACAATGTACTCACACATATGATACAGAACCAGATTCTTCAAGCTCCCGTTGTATTTCTGGAACGCTCGATTAGTCGGCGCAAATACAGTCACATGGCGATATGTGAGAGTCGTATTGGCCACTTGACTGGCTTCCAGAAGCTGATAAAACTGCAACAGAAAATTGCGGTACGGTTTTAAAACGAGTTTGACCCGGCCATCTCTTTGCTGATCGCGCCACTAATTAACGACGCGCGCAAAAAAAAAAAAAAAGAAAAAAGAAATTACGCTTACGGCATTATGCGCTCTCGGAACAAAATCAAACACTCGCGTGCTCGGAAGAGGACCAGCTCATATAGGAGGTCGTTAAATTAATCATCGTTCTCGTGAAGTAGAAAACGAGGTCGAAGAACGAAGAAGCGATCGATTCCGAAACGTTTCTTCTTCGTCGGGACATAAAAAAAAAAAGAATCTATCCATCCATCCATTCGACCCCCTACGATGGAAGCAATGCCTCGAGCAATTCGCATCAACGGGGATTGAAGTTCTCGCAGTTTGCATCTCGAATTCGGGCAAACACGGGTTCGATGAAAGCGCGCTAGCACGCTAAAGCATTTAATCCGATGTGTCGGTTGAAATTTTCCGTGGACTTTCATCCTCCGGCGGCGGCGGCGACGGCACAAAGGAACCTCGTTAGTTATCAATGCTTAATTAGCCGGATACAAAGTCCGATCTACTGGCGGGTATTACCAGTCTACCACTCGCTACTGTGGAGAGAGAACCCCTTTTCCGTCGCGTCGCTTGGGATTTGGGGGAGAGGGCGAAAAAAACATATAACAGCGGAAACTGAAAGATATTTAGACCCTTTAGAACGCGTTGTATATATATATGTTTTCGGTACTCAATTTTAAGAATTTCGCGTTCTCGCCTTTTTAAACGTATAATTACGACTGATTGCTGTATAATCTCACTGCTTTCGCAATTTTTATCGTAATTATTATATATAATGATATTATATAGGTTTATTATATATATGTCGTAACGTTGTCCAATAATAAGAGAGCGTAAAATATTTTAATGAGAAACATTTTAATTCGACGCTCGCGACATTTGTGCATTCGAACTGTTGTTACGTTTATGCATTCGAACGGAGACTCTGAAACGCGGAAAAATTCATTCGGATTCTTTCGTAATAGAGACGCGGAAAGTATGTATACATACATACAGTATACATATCTGATAAAACCCGCGCCGAGCTGCTACTGCGGCTCGCTTTGTCGATTTTATGACGCGTGTGGCATACGAACAAGTTTTACCGCACAAAAGCGTCACCGAGGCTTCCGATTCTCGTAAAACTCGGCACGACTATCGTAAAAACGCGATTATTTCGTCTCATTGCTCGAAACTCCGCTACTGAGGGAGAACTATGTCGGCGTACTCGGCTATAATAAACTGCTAAAGTTTCCGTACGCAGGAGGTGTACCTTGCCGGTGATTTTTCCGCAGCGACAGAAGTACAAGCTCGCTCTAATACACACAGACAGTTTCTTCAACTTCTTCGACTTTGTCAAAGTTAATAGAGTAATTTCGCATTTTATATTTTCCCGTCTTCCTATGTTTTACATCTAGCTTTATAAATGCATTTTTTTTATCGTCATTAAATTCGTCTATATTTTTACAGATAACATATAATAAGGTTTTTTTTTTTAACGTTAACTCTGTTCTACAGATCGCAAATCACTCTTGACAAGGCACTCGGAATTACGTTTCGATATCGCAAAATCAAAACGTTCATTCACGAGTTATTAAAGCTCGTAAGTTTCGCGGACGACACTGTCGCGGAGGCGGGAAACTTTGTTACCGTGACCATATATGCTAATTAGTACACGGCGGGATAATTGGCAGGGAGATTCGGGAAGCAAGGTCTATTAGTTGCATTGGTCGGTCGGTGGTGCCGGCAGGAAATTTCTGATTAATTAGTGGAAACTGTATGCGCGAGGACGTGGTTCATTCAGGGCGCTTCTGTATTTCGCAGATAATCGATGTCGCGTCTTGTTGCGCGCGATATAAATTTCATTTTAAAATCGGAAACGCGATCAAAGCACGTAATATGCGATGCATTTGGGATTTGCTATTTAGGGAAGAGCGTCAGAATTATCTCGTAACAATAATACGGACGAAATTTCCGAAAAATCTTTTTTTTTTTTTTTCCGTTTTTCGAATAATTTGGAGGGGCCCCATCGTTCTATTCTCGTTAAAGATAACGGCGCGACGACGCGGGCCCAATTTGTGAAAAATAATGGTGAAACAGCGTTGCGACCTTCTTTATCTTTCTCGTCCCTTATCCTCGGGGCGCTCTCTTATCCCCTTTGCCTCCCTTTAACGAAGCTCTTGAGTAATGGAGACGTGTCGTGACTCCCGGCAATTAATGCGAGTTGGTTCGTCGAGGCGAGCCCGAGAGAGCGACGGGATTGGTCGGGAGTAATAGACAAAAGGAGAGAGGAGCGTGGCAAAAAGGGTTCCGCGGATAGAAAAAGATTTCCAGCTCGGTAATCGAGACGTCGTGTTTTCGCGTGTCGATTGTCTTGGTAGACACAAGAGTTTTATCAAGCCTTGTATAATATCAGAGAGACCTCGGATCGCGAAAAACTCGACGGTTTTTAAACTCACTTTAGGTTTTTTAGACCCGGCACCTTGGAACCTGTCACAAGGAAATCGAAGGAGGATTGAAGAGAATAATCTGAACGCGATTTTAAGTCACGTCTTTTAAAACGTCACCAACTTACAGAAACTTTTTGACATTTATAATTTGGAATATTTTTTGATTTCTTCAAATAAAATGAAAGATTTTCGTATCAAGATGAGAAAACCATTTAAATTCGCACACCCGACTGCATCTGTCAAATTTGTTAATGCGAAAGGACCATTAGGACATAAAAACGTTTATCGAACGCGTCACACGCATAACGGTATATATGTATATATTACGTATTATTCATACAAATATTTGCATTGGTAAATCCGATATTTTTTATCCGTCAAATAAAAATAGCGATAGGTTAAACGGAGGAGAAACTATTCCGGAATTTTGTATGAAGTGCAGTCGCGACGAGTCGGAAATTAGATTAAATCATACGTCAGGATATATTTTCTATTTTCTCTCTCTCTCTCTCTCTCTTTCAGTAACGTTATTTTATCGCATTACGTGCTTTCAAAATATCGCGCGATCTGAGAAAATAATTTTGCAGCGAAATTTGTCGTCTCGAAATAAACCCGCTACATGTATTGTCCTTGTTTTATTTTACGAGATTGTTTGCATTTAATAGATTCAAGAATCATTTTTTGAGGAATAAAAAATCTTTCTTCGTACACTTGTTCGGACACTTCAAAACTAGAGACGATTTGTGAAAATTCAGCTATTGGCGAAGATTTATGTTCTCGTGTTAAAATTACGTGTACAATAAATAAATGCGACATGAATCTTAATTTTATGTTCCACGTCTTAATTCATGTTCACGTTTTAGTCCTCGAGGCATTTTATCTCACGGCATACATCAGCGTTGTTATGCTCCCGATTACATATTCCTTTAAAATCGTGCTTATGTTATTTTTGTTACAGAGAAATAATTAACAGAAAGTTAATTGTTTGTATTTTCATTATTACGCTGCATTTATCATCATGCGCACGCAAATATAATATACAAAGGGAAATAATTATTATTTCAATTTCATATATATACCTACAAATGTATATCTGATATCTTTGCGTACATTATAAAAAGTATTCGGAAATTTGATAGCCAATCGGTCCGATGAAATTAATTTACTACATAATATTATGGCTTTTGGATTATTTGCGCAATTTCCAGATTCCATAATATTTTTACGAGGCTCATTCTTATTTTTCACACTTCGTTATTTTTTACAGCCGCAATTCTCGTTTTGGAAATATTGCTTTTCCTATCCAAAAGTCTAAGTCGTAATTGCACTCTATATCTTCATGTCACAAAGTAGTTGTAATAATCACATTTAATTTTAATCATTACGTAAAATAAAAAGCAAGAAAAAGAGACGAAGAACGCGAGGATTTCACGTTTTTACAAGCCCGCGAGCTTGAATAGGAGATGAACTAAAGAGTAGTACGTCCACTGTAAAATGAAAGTAACGAAATTTAATTAAGGTGAGCTTGCGCGCATTAAAAAGTTTTTCCTGCGCTCCAAACTGCAACTTGAACTTTTCACGGTTGTGCTAATAAAGCGACATTTGATTCGTGTGCTTCTATCTTTCGTTTGCGAAGGCTTGACGGAAGATATCCTAAAAAAACATATGTGTTGGTTCCTTCACTTCGCGCGAATAAAAATAGAAATTGTTGTCCAAAAATGATGCATAAGTCGTTAATCAAATACACTTGATGAACGAGGACCGTTGCATCACCGTTTGAAATCCATTACATTATGTATTAAGATGTATCGGACATCGGGGAGCGTCCTTAAACTTTTCGCATTTTTTACGATCGCGTGGGTTGTTTTGTTTTTGTCGCTCTTCCCTCCCTTGCTTTTATTCTCATATATATATATATATCGTCCCTCGACAAATACGAATATTTATGCGAATGGGTGAACTTTTGTTCAGAATCGGGGGAGGAGATGTGCCTCGTCGTTTATGAGTCAACGATATCGTCACTCAGGCGAGAGCTTTGCGAATTACATTCACGCGTCAAAGAGCTGCGATTAATCTGCATATTATTATGCCAGCTCATCCGTACGAGCGCGCTTTAGTGCTTTATATGAGTTCACCGAGTTAGAACACTTGGAATATATTCTCGTGTAAGTCAGTATAATCTAGGTACGATATAAAAGTAGATCCAAATTTTGCTCCTAAGCATAGGAGCGTGTGTATGAAATTTTATATTCTAAAATATTTTATTAAAATTTGCGGAATCTCTTAAGCATACACACTTCTGTGAAAATTTATATTCTAAAATATTTTAAATTTCGCGGAACCTCCTAAGTAAGCGTACACTTCTCTCTGTGTGAAATTTTATATTCTAAAATATATTTTAATTTTTGACACGAAATTTCTTACGGGATTAAAGAACGAAATATATTTAAATTTGCATCCGCGCATTTCCCCAAGAGTTTCAACAGAGCAGCAGTGATTCATCGATGTTGA